TTAGTTATATAGAAAAGCTAAATAAACTGCAAACGTTACCTAGAGACCAAAAATAAGTATTAAAAGATTATGCAAGTACGATAAACTTAAGAAAGAAAAATGGTGATGACCTACTCTAAGGTGTAATTTCAGAATTTCTATGGTAATGCTGAAGGAACTTCTGTTACGCTGCAGATACGGCAGACGTGATTCTAAAACAGTAGCCCTACTTCCAGAATACAAGTCGCATGCATTATCGCTTGAACTACCATAATCAGTATTGAGTAATACTACTGGATAAATTTTCTGTTAGTCTACGGGCATAAATTCCGTGTTCGAAACAGAACAAATAATGCTGAAAGCTTAAAGGTCATGACAGAATGACGTCACTTTTGTCGTCAATTTCATCACATTCAACCAATGTGTGTCGGGATGATCCAGTCTCTTTGAAGAGGCCTTTCATTCGTTAACCAGGCGTTAATTATTCTGATCTGTGCTTGGGTAACCGAATCATCCCTCTGCAATATTTCCACCTCGTGGGGTTGCATGACGTCAAAGCATTGTTGTTGCTAGCGACACGGTTACAAAAAGATCATTTTGTACGAAGCAGTACATGGTACCAGTGAAAGTACTCGTTCTTCGGAAGAGTCAAATGACTTAAATAATGCACTTGTTTGTTTATTATTAAAATTCAGTAAATAAACATTCCAAATGACTGCTGACGTCTTGTGAGAGATCATTCTCTTGGACTTATTCCATCTTCTAAATGATAAAACTACGTTTCGATAGCTTTATTCTGCTTTCGTCATGAGGTAAAAAAAGAGAGCAGAAAACCTATTTGTTGGCCTCCCTGAAACGTGGAAGCAGAATGTAGCTTTTAAAATGTTGTAGTAAAGCTGACCCGCTACACGCCATGTAGAAACGTCGTAGTAGTTTCGCAATTTTGTAATTTAGACGATGGACAATTTCAAAAGAACATATTTTCACATTATAACGAACTATTTTCACAAACCTTTAAATTTCCGCTGTCGTCTTGTCTGTTATCATAACTATGAAAATAATAATTCATAATATGAACACTTAGATAAACAAGAGATGTCATATTTTCAGAAATTATCAATCTTGGCAAGAAACGGGAAAATAGAACAAAAATAAACATTTTATCTTTAATAACTAGCGAGTTCAAGAACTGAAAGACCCAAGACTTATAAAAATTGAAGATTGCTGTCTTCTGGGTTGTTGCGCCGTGTATTCTGGTAGATTTTTACCGACGTTTCAGAAGTCCTTGCTGCCTCCTCCATCAGTGCGATGAGCCAGCAGGGACCTCTGACTCGTCAACAGGTTTCTACCAGACTGCACGGCGCTACAACCCAGAAGACAGCCATCGTTCTCGACGCCGTGAGAACCTCAAATCCGATATGCGTTAACTTCGTTTGCTAATGGAAAGATCAAAATGTAGTCATAGAGGAATGGAACATCTGAAATCCGTTTTCTTCTACGAAGTGACAGACACTCCCCTTTTGCCGTTCAAGCTGTACCCTCAAGCTGAAGTGTCTGAGCACAAAGTACCCTGAAATGTGGTCTGATGCTTATGTGTGAAGATGCTCCCGGGAAGCAAGAGGAGCGTAGCAGCTTTTAAGATCTTGAAACACGAATCTGATCTCAGATATTCTCAAACTCATGTTTATAAATGAGGTTTTGTGCTGACTCAACTTCTCCATCATTACTTTATCTTCTAGTGCTTCATTATCGTAAGTATTAGAGATAACGGTAAACTGAGGCGCAGAATACAATTTTTGGATAAAGTTTTAGGTACTGCGTGGTATTTACTGATCTCAGGATAATAATTCTCGAATAAAAACGTCGGTAGACATTAAAAAGCTGTTACTGTACGTGGAAGAATCTTATTAATAATAATAATACTCATTTTCGTGAGTACTGAACGCGAAGTAAATTTTTATTACGGTACGTTTCATCATTTTGTCTGTAGCAAACTGCAGTGGAAATGCTGTCTACAGAGCTGTAAAAAGTCATGCCATATTTTACTGCTTAAAACACAAGTCAATTCCATGTGATAATCGTACGAAAATATATTCACTTATTTAAGTTCTTCGGAATTGGTTTACGTTTATTGCTAGAAAACGCAATTAGGAAGAATACAAAGAGTTAATTTTCTTTAATAACGATAAAAAGTGTTGCAGTGATATCATGTATTATGTCTCTTATCTCATTTTTAAAGTTATAAATGTCAATGGATGTCTATTATTTAAGCCTTTAAAACCGATGTTCCCCTAAATAACTATTAGAATTTCAATTCTTGCTATTTATTCTGATAAGCATATAAAAGTCATAAATATACTGTAGAATAATTAACAGTTATTGATCTTTAAATTAGGTGATACGTATTATTACCAATGTGTTTCACAGAATTAAAACTTTTTCAAATCATCGTTTCGGAAAGTTTTAAGTTACAGTACAAATATTAAGAGAGTTTTGGTGAAGACATCGATAATGTTGTTCTGGGTTGTGACGTCGTGTGCACTTGAAGGTTTCGGGGAAATATAGTGTCTCCATCTTCAGGGCCATACTGAAAACTGACACCCGCCAAATTATTTTAACAACTGAATATTGGTCTGGAATGCAGACGACAGAACTTGTTTTGTAAAATTTATATAAATATTATCAGCCAGTATGAGAAAATAAAATTTCCTTCCAGGCCAGATTCCACTACTTATAGACGAAGAGTTAGGAGATATGATTTTAACGATTCCTAATATCAGAGCCTTCTATCTCGTATTTTGGTGCAGCTAATATAACCGGGTTAAGATTGGCATACCTCTTTTCCCTGACGCAAGAATTTCAGGGGTTACAGTTGTAGATAGGATCACAATAAATAACATCACTGCCGAGAACCTTATCTGCTATGAACACAAAGACAATCATTGCGTGAATATAAAACACTACACACAAACCATAAAGATATTTGTCGTACTTGCATAATTTACTCAGGTATGGGACATTTCCTCGAGATAACATATCTATTTGTTCATTTAAATTAATGCAATATCAACAAACATATTTCAAGTTGTAAGGAAAAATAAATGTAACATTAGTAAACTTGTCATCATATAAAAATCATAACTGTTCACTTACCACAGATGTGACGAATAAAGATTCTAATTAAATCTGGAATTAGTTGAAGAGGGCTGGATTCAACACTAAATTTACTTGTATTTATTATTCACTCTGATAGTAATAAAGTTCTTCGTAACGGCGACTAACACATCACAGCAACAATGCCTGAAAAAAGAAATTATAAATTAATATCTTGAGTTCAATTTTAGAGATAATGTAAAATAACTGTAAAATATATCGAGAAAAAAAATCAAATCCTGTCACTACCAAATCTGATGTCCAACTGAAAGTCGTAATGAAAATCCTGTATCATGTGTCTATTTCAAATAAGCCCATAATGAAGATTTCTGTCTTCTGGGTTATTGCGCTGTGAAGTCCGGTCGATGTTAACCAACGTTTCAGAGGTCATACTGCCTCCGTCATCAGGGCGATTCATATTCACCGTTGTGAAAATCTCAAATCATACAAGCCCATAATATTTTAAAGTAGATCATTTAATATATATGTCTGGAAGTAATTATTTCCCGACTATCTGCTCATAACTGAAGCAAATATGGGAGGAGAAAAAAGAGAGACGTGGGTTAGGTTTGGTACTTGGAAGCTGAGGGGTGACGAATGGATCTGAGTAAAAGGAGCGCTTGTGATAGAGAGAGAAAGTTTTTTTTATTTTGTATTAAGACTTTTCCTGAGAAGGAAAGGGAGAGAACAGTATATTCTGAACAGGAAATTGTTTACTTTTACGATGAAGGAAATTGTAAGAGAATGATAAAATATAATATGGATGTAGAATTAACGGATGCAAAATAATACTTGTATAAAACTGGATGTATATTAAACAACACGACTATGAAGATATAAGTGGGAATAGGGAAGGAAACGATAGGTTTACAGTCAGAGGAATTATTTTTGAGTAACCTTGTTAGATATATCTGTATTAGCCTGCGGTCCGAAAAAATGGCTTTTAACTGACGAGATAGAGGCAGCAAGGACCTATGAAACATCTGTACACTTATATCAGACTAAACGGTGCTATAACCCAGAACACAACCGTCTTTAAAATTAATTTTCTAGAAGCAAATGTGAAATAATAGCTAAACCGTCTCACCATAGAACCTAATGACGCGACTTTTGTCTTGTGACCACTTTAATGAATGTTTCGGTTGCTTAAAAGAAGGAAATTTCTTCAGGAAGTCACACTAAAGTAATATTTAACAAAGAACAAGGGAAACTCAAATTTATCAAAACAAAACTAGATATGTACAAAAAAGGAAAACAGAATTATAAACGGTAAATCTTTATGCGTGACGGTATATAGTGTTGACATCCATGATGAAGAGGAACGCATACATTTCAAAGTATTGACTAAACAAAATAAGTTACATTAATATTAAAGTAATAAGATATAATATTCAATAAACAAAAGATTGTGGATAAATGCTTTTAACAGTAAATAGGCATACAAATGCATTACTAAAAGTCTGTTATTACCAATTTATAACATTGAATTAAACAGCGGTGCCACAATTACGAATAAGATAAGGTAATCCAGAAATTTTACGATCTCTCCACCAATATTTAAAGACGTTGCCCATCTTCGAATACTGACGGTAAAAACGTCTTGTCATATCGCACTAAGATTCTTACCAGCTTCGAGCTGTTCTCTGCTAGGAGCCGGAAAATGTTCAGAGATAGAGAGCTGAGACGGAAACCGCGCTAATGCAAAGCAAAGGAACCGAATCTCGTTCTGAAATCCCGTCGTTCTTCCGGACTGCGAAGTTGCATTACTCAATTTCCTCCGAGACAGAGACAGAACGAAATAAATAGGCTGCCTGGTTCCGTGAAACGGAGAGACTTCAAAGAACGCAGAAGCTGAACGGTGTTACCCATTTAAAGAGCAGGCATTTACAGGTGAATAGATTTAGCAGCCTTAAAGGAGTTCTGTGCGTAGTAAGAATCTGTAAACGACTATTTTATATTTTAAATTCTCGCGGAGGCAAAGACGTCAACGTTGGTCTTCGAGTTGTAACACCACGTGAACTCGTAGGTACATACCAATGTTTCGGAGGGACATACTGCCTCTGTCTTCAAGGATGAAGTGAGGTTGTTGAGAAGTGGGTAGTTCATGGTCCAAGTACCGGGAAAGAGAAGGGAGTCTGGACCAATGGAAAGTCCCGTTCAAGAAAATCAGGGAGTGGGAGCTTTTAAAGAGTTCTAATCCCTCTGAGTAACCTATATACCTGCTTGATAAGTTTATATTTCGTCAGGGAGGGAAACAATTTCCGGCATTTACGGAACACTAGACCACATTACCGTTTTTTGCAATATCCTGGCACTGGTCAATATCCTAGATCACTTAAATCCGATCCACAATCTCAACTCCTGTTCTCTCAAGTTATATTTTAATATTATCCTTTCATTTTTGTTCGAATACAGGCTATTCCAAGGGTTAACGTGTTTTTTACTCAGTCAATTCCGGACTAGTACCTTTAAGTAACTCGCAACTGTTTCCTTGCGTTACCTTTCCAATTCATCACCCGTTAATCACATTGGTACAGTCATGGATAAAGACAACGTCGTTAGAAAGACCAAAATTAAATTATTTAAAATACTCGTCCCTTCTGTTCATACGCCTACGTCCCTTGCCCTCACGTGATTCAGCCAGTAAGCTACTTCGTATGCAATTCTTGTTTCCTACATTCGTACTCGAGTCTTAAAGCTGCGGTAACCCTTGTGTCCACAGCAAGTACTTAGGATGCATGGGAAGAGACGCTCGGTGAGCTCCGGACGCGACAGCAATGGAATCGACCAACGGCTGTTTAACCCACAACCGCCTCTTGACCAATCATGAAGCTGTTCCCAGATGCTGAATCCAGTTGGATTTACAGTGCACTGTTAGAATCAAGACGTGAGGGATCGATTAAACGACTCCCGCTCTGATGATGACGGCTGCAAAAATTTCTGAAACGTCGGTAAATTTTTACCAGATTACACGGTGTAGCATCCCAGAAGACTTGCACTGTCAGAACCCGAAATCCCAACTATTATTTCCTTATTCAGTACTGACTAACTGATCTTTCTAATGAAGAAGTCTTGTGGTTACTTTGAGGCAAAAAAACTGAACTTTTAAAATCATTAAATCATTAAATTTGACACTGGTAAACAAAAAATTATGAACTGAAAACTAAGACGCGACAAATTAGCGAAATGGATTAAAATAATTACATTTCACTTCCGTGGGGACCGGATTTTAAATGGATGTACTGCATAAGATCATATCATAAATTAATTACCTTCTTCCATTAAACTTGTATTAAAAATTGCATTGACAAATTTTGAAAAAACGTGTAAAGAAATTCATATTTGAAAGCATAAGCCACACACAAATGAGATCTTTCAAAGTACGGTTATCTGTGCCGAATATTTTAATGACTGGCCGTGTTAAATAAGTTAAAATATCGTTATTACGTTTTTACACACGCACTTTTCAAAAGCCAGTGCATTTAATATATTCGACTGTTGCATAAGGAACCCTTACAAAACTCTGAGTACGAACAAAGCATCTGACGTTTCGTACGGAGTCAAAACCTCACTGGTTATTAGCTGCAAGGCCTTTGATACAGTTCAATTTTATTTAGTTCACAGCGTTCGATAGTGGGGATATTTTTCATCTTTTCATCAAAGAAATTTTCTTCCTAACCTAAAAAACACAAACATTTTAGTTTTTTGTTAGAAAAAACTTTTCAAATGACTGGAAGCAAGTTGAAGGCTACATAAAAGACGCGCTTGTAGATATATTTGTGTGCTGCACATGTCAAATATGCCACAGCGTTATTTATATCCAAATGACAATAAAACAATTATGCCTAGATTAAAATGAGGGAAAGTTAATAAGTTTTATAAGCGAAATATTTTTATTGCTAGCAACATCACCTTTCACGTACTGTGCGTAATTGCCTTTAATTGTTCGCTTACACTGGTATAACGTATTTAATTTATTTTTTAGACACAGAACGATTTGAAAATATCACGTTATCCTTTTATGGGAGTAACATTTAGGATAGGACATCAAATTTCATGTAGTCTGTATAACGACATGAATGGGGATGGCAGTTATTTAAGAATAATTCATAACGTCGGTGTTCGGTATCCATGACGTTATGAACTTGTACAACAATCACTCTGAAGCCCAGGTCATTATTTCGCTCTGTAGCTCACTGTGAACGGTACATCACTATGATGCGGTGGACATGCAGGGAAAATTGTTTCCCTCAAGTATACAACAAATTGAATAGTTCTAGCACAAAAGACCAGACTTCCATTCGTTCGATGTCCAATGATGAAACAGATTTATCAAGATAATGGTGTTGGATTGTATCTGTTGCCAAACGCAGGGCTTCAGTCTGGGTCGAACCGGACACTGATCATTGGTTAGAATCTCACTAAATTCGTCCTGTAATAAAATAAATCCTGTTTGTCATAATAAGAATTTATAACTGCTCTGAAGCAGGATAGGTGCTGGACCAAATCATGCTGTAGGTCCGAATAAGTAGAAAATTAATAAAAATATTGTAATGTTCCTAGACGATGTCAGTTCTTAAGTAGGTTAAATACACTTTAACAACTACAGAGGTCATTTAACATCTAATTAAAGCAGACAATAATAATTATGGTATTGTGAGCTCTAAAATGTATCAAATAAGCAATTCTATGTATTATTTGAGGTTTTCACAGCAGTGAGTATGAAGATTTCTGTCTTCTGGGTTGTTGCGCTGTGTAGTCTGGTCGATGTTAACCAACGTTTCAGAGGTCATACTGCCTCCGTCATCAGGGCGATGAGCATGAAGATTTCTGTTTTCTGGGTTGTTGCGCTATGTAGTCTGGTAGATGTTTACCGACGTTTCAGAGGTCATACTGCATCCGTCATCAGGGCGATGAGTATGAAGATTTCTGTCTTCTGGGTTGTTGCGCTGTGTAGTCTGGTCGATGTTTACCAACGTTTCGGAGGTCATACTGCCTCCGTCATCAGGGCGAAGACAGAAATATTCAAGAAGTAAGTTGTTTCGTTGTTTTACCTCTACAGTTTATTTAAAGTGATATTTAAGAACGGGTAGCATCAGCTCGTCGAAGCGACAAGTGAATGTCTTACATTACGAAGCAGCAAACTA